TATATTAAACTATTGCTTTTTTATTTTCCTTGGCGACAGAACTTCGAAAAACAGCGTTAAGATTATGTCTTTTAAGTGATTTTGTCATTAGATCAAAAGTTATTAAGATGTTCCGTTTTCATTTTGCACACAACACATAACATCAAAATTATATATTAAGGCGGTCGTTACCGAACACCCTCGCATATCATTGAAACTGTGCTCAGTTGATTTTATTTACCCTTTGCTTTTGACAATAATTCTCTCCATCAAACAAGAGATAACTGTGAAAAGCTCCAAATTAAGCTCTTTGGTAATGTCCATGTCAAGCATTCTTTTCAAATGCAACATCTCGTCAGCCAGAGATTCCTCGTGAAACAATTCTTCATATATCTTACGAGTGTCCTAAAATATCAAATTTTGAAGTTACTTTAATAAATTCTTAAGTGAACAAAAACACTGAGTTACAATAACTTTAAGAAACAACTAGAGACCAGTAAGTAATGTCATCATAAGTATATTCTGGTATTTGTCGATTCAGAAGCCAATAAACTTCGACACATACGCGTGACGTCGCTTACAGGTATCGAATTAAATCTGGTTTAATTCACAAGGTTAGGCATGATCACTCTTCTCGAGTTGCAAGTACTCAACTGTGCTAAGTGACAGTGTTGACAAAAACAATCTAAGTATAAGGACTAAACTATAATTAACTAACTCTTTACAACACCAACTAAAAAAATGCACTAATTTATTAAAAATAATACAAATTAATTTTTCAAGTAATAACCTATGAAATGCATTAAAAATTTATTAAGAAATTAATAAAAACACTTTTTTAAGTAAATATCATTAAAATTTTTCCTTAACGTTACAATTCTTTGAAATAAATCCTTTTTTTTTTTTTTTTGGATACATTTACGATTTAGAGCATTTGTAACATGATGTGTTTTTTTGAAATATATAGAGTAAAAAAAAAATCTTACTATGGGTGTAAAAAGTTTTTTTACCGAAACTCCATAAATAAATTGAAACTATATCGCTTTCTTTTTAAGAAATCACTCTAGACATATAAATTTTTTATAAAATTCTAGACTGGACTGTCACAGATGGGTATTTATAATAAGTCACCGTAACCGACTATCAACAGTCTATTTAAAGTTGACAAAGACTGCTTAAAAACTTACTGAAAAAACTGAAAAAAGACTGCTTAAATTACTTAAGTGAATCGGTTTAGGCTTTTTAAAAAATTTCCATTAAAACTATTTTTCTTGTTCTTACATGTTTCATATAAATATTTGGAAAAGTAGTAACTAGTTTACATTTTAAGTAGTCTGCGAAGACTACTTTTTAGAAGCTTTATGGTAATTATCATTTCTTGAAAAATGGTGATTAATAGCCTATGTTTGAAGTTAGGTAAAGTTTATCTCTTTATCTTTGTAATTTTGATTGCAACTCAGAAAACAAGGAACCTCTTGATTCAAATATGGAACCCAATTTGCCTCCGCGTGATAGAGTTTTGCTAAAAATTCGCACTTTCCTTGTGTAATATAAAAAAAACTCCACTTTTGCTCTTATTGTGCGTCTTTAAAATGTGATCTGTCTCCCATATTTCTTCGGCTTAAAGCAAAAACGACCAATGTTTAAATTTTAAAGCAAATAAGTTCAAGGAAAAAATATGCCAATAAGTATTTTCGTTCATATTTATGACATGCAATTGCTTCCAGGGAAGTCGTTTTCTAGCATATATATATATATATATATATATATATATATAGATTTTTTTTTCTGAAAAAGTTATGTATGAATGCTGAAACATGAAGGAAGAAATTTTTTTTACAGTACAACTATCGTTTTATGTTAAAAGGGCATTTATNTGAGACTCATACATAACTTTTCTTGAATCCTGAACTCGACAATATTTCGATAAATACTGAATGGGAGTCATATCTGCGAAACAAACTTTAAACCATCAAGATCAAAAGATTATAGACATTTTGAAAACAGAAGTTAATATGAATAAAGAAAATCAATGCATGTAAATTATTTGTTCCTTACTAAAACACAAAAATACAATAAAAATACGTTATACCGACGATCAGAATAACTGATGTAACTGACGTTATAGTATGCTTTTGTTAAAAGTAAATGCACATATCCAATGTAAAAAACGTGAAACTGTATTCTCTTCTACATACTAAACTTCAAAAGTATATTAGCTTTTATTTACTTCAATATTAAATAACTCAATAAAAAATTTATTCCCTTTACTAGGTTTAAACTTTATCACTCTGTAGTTGCATTTATCTGGGATTCAGAGTGCCCAATGTGACATTTTTTACTACTAGTTTAACTAATAATAATTTTGGAGTTAAATGGTAGATAATGATCAAATGTTAAGCTTTTTTATTCCATCGTTCCCTGATTACGTTTTTCGGTATACCTTTTCACATTTTTATAGCTATCATGGTTTTTGCTCTGGAGAAAAAAATTCAACGTAAAGTTGAACACTCAAAAAGCATTAGTGGTTTTTACAATTTTTTAACATAGTCATTTTATAATTTAAAAGTGTGAACTAATATTTTTTTCTCTTTTAGCAAAGTCTGTAAAAAAGCGCAAGATCAGCAAAGAAATTTAATAAAAAGTGCAGTTTCATAACAGTTTCAGCTGTGTGATATATTATGCTTTTCCATCGAATAACTTCCAAAGGATAATTTGAAAACGATTTTGCTTGGGGAAATGGACAATTTTTGACATGATTCTTTTGTGCCGAATTTAGCTCAGAATTCGATTCAATGCAGTTTCATAAAAAGTTTAGTAATGTGTCATTTTGCATTTTTTTTTGAATAATTCAGTTAGTAAACGGCGTGAAGTCATAGAGATATTTAAAATTAAAAACTGTAATTACATGAAAACAATGAAAGATTTTCTATAAAAACTCACTTGCCAGTCTTGTCATGTCGATTGGCAACTCAAACCTGCAAGACGAATGACTCGGAATGACGCGCACTTGTAAGTTATCTTGGGTAATTTTCTAAAAAAAATATATAAAGATACAATTTATCACGATAAACATTAGTCGGGTAATAAGGGTAAAAAATTTTGTAAACTTAAAAAGAAAAAATTTTAAAAAAATTTAGTTTGCCTGTCAAATAAATATTTTTATATAATTAAAATTAAGTACATTTCAGAGAAATTAATCGCATTTGATTGAAGTTTATGACTATAACTGGCTATAAGTTTATGGCTATGGTTATGGTAGAAACTGTTTTAAAAAATAAAAGCTAATAATTTGTCATTCTGTCTGAATGAGTAAAAAAATCCGCTATTTTATGCTGTCTTTTTATGCAATCACATTTTGCATTTTTTTTTTTTTCAACAATCAGCTACTCTTATTGTAATTTATTTGAACGATCTTTTTTATATTGGCGGGTGGGCGAGGTGCTGTATACTATGTGGTTGATGAAAAGAACCACGTAGTCTTCGTAGTTATGAGAATTACTGCGCTCATATAATTCTTCAACATCACCTAAAACATTGTCTTGCCTTAGTATAGAACGAAATCGTTCCAAAATTCATTTCATAAAATTAGGGTCTTCGGTGATGTTTCAAAGAGGAACTGCTACGAGAGAAGACTGTTTAACACGTTGAATGCCACGCTAATTTTACATAACTTGCCCGTCTGGCGAAACTGTAAATAACTACAAATTAAATTTGCAAATATTAGGCAGATTTTGCTGGTTTTTTAAAAGGTTTAGCATGACATATCTGAAAAAGTGAATTATATAAGCATACGAATTGTTTAGAAATAGTGGTGGATAAAAATCTACTAAATTGAATTCATTAAACCAAGAATCCCAATTAACAAACTACCACTTGAAAATATTTATTCGCTGTCCGGAGCAAGATGGCATCTCTGTGTATATAAATAAAACTATTTTTGTGTGCTATATATTGCGTTAATTTCTTCAAACCTTTTTAGTAACGATAATAATATTTAAAAAAATCAAAAATTTACTCGAATTATGTGTTTCTAACAGTATTGGCTTCGCCGGTCACCAGTGACCTGCGTGGCACTACGACCAAACTCAGTGCCGTTCACCGGTGACCCCTATGGCATTCAACGTGTTGAGAGAGGAATTATGATAAAAATTTAACTTATGATCATATTGTTGCTGTAGCCAGCATTAAAATTTTATTCCTAATTTATATTACTTTTAATTACAACTACAATATAAAAGACACTGGAAATTGTGCTGAATCTTTTAAAAAAATATCTCATTAATATACATACAAATATTTCCTTAATATGCATACATATATGTCATACATGTTAGCATGAATTTCCAAATTTGCTACTGCACGCTCGCCTGGATGTAGTGTTGGGAAACAATTTTTTATTTGTCCTGCAGCAATTTTTATTCGCAAAAATAGTTACATTTTAAATAGTCATATCCTGAATAAAAGCTTCAAAATTAAAATTTATGAAATAAAGATTTAAGTTTTCATTGCATCATTACATATTAGATCACTTTTCCAGCGAGGTAAAAATTTAATTATGATAATTTTTTTTGTAATATTTATCTATTACTCAAAAGCATAGTATTTGGCCACATTTCAAAGATGAAAGCGAAAAGAAACTATTTTTCTAAAAGGCAAGATTCTTCTTAAACATTTAGAAAGTTTATAAGACAGAAAAATCACATTATCTGATTATTAATAAACTAAGAAGATTCTTTTTTTTTTGAGTTAATTTTTTTAATTTATTTAATTTTTATGCGTATAAAAAATAAATAAAATAAATTAAGTTACCGATAGTCTACATTTTTTGTGATTTTCGCTTGCACCTGGCTAACGAAAAAATACCTAATTAAGCTTAAATCCGAACAGATTATAAACTAAATGTCAATACAATAAAACTTTTATGGTACTTTAATTGAAAATTTTTTAATTTTGAATCGTCAAAAAACAAACAAAATTTTACTACGAGTCATTTTCCGTCTCTCATCTCAATTTTGGCAAAGTTCTAGACGATATACTGGTCGAAAAGTGGAATTATTTCACGAAGAAAAAGGATTAACTTTAAAAAAAGGGATTTATTTTTTTAAAAAAAAGGATAAAAAAAGGATTAACTTCACTACTCACTTCTCTCATCTCTTCAATAAATTTTGCAACATCGTTTACCAAAAGTTTTGGCTTAATTAAGGTCTTAGATCGGTTGGAACGCATCAAACTCTACAAAAAATATGAATATTAAATTTTAAAGAAATACATTTTATCCATTTGTTTACATCCATTCATCTATACATTTCATCATAGTAAAACTTTCACTGCTTTCAAAAAAACTATTAACTTAAAGGAATCATTACGACAAAATTTGTAAAATTTTTCGAGTAACTATATAAAATCACAGAAGTCTTCTACAACGAAAAAACAATTTTTCGAATAAGAGTAATGGAAATATTGGATTAAACTTATTAATTCAAATATCACGTGATGCCCATTGCATTATATTTGAATGCCAATAGATAGTCTTAAAACACTAAAAAGAAACGCAGAAGTTGCAGAGATATTATAACTCGTATAATTTTTAATTACTTACACAGAATAAATTAATTTTTTGACGAGGGAAAGTTATTAGCTTATAGTTTGAAAAAGTCTGATTACACGTTCAAGCGGTTAACATTAATAAAAAAATTATTGTTAAAAAATTATTTCATCGAGCAGTCATTAATATATTTCAGTTGCTTATAAACACTTCATATATAAATTGCATTCACATATAAATAGTTGCTTATAAACACTTCACATATAAATTGCTTACTTCCTAATTCTGCAACTATAATTTCTTACTATGTATAAAAATCTATCGCAGTTTTACAATATTGTCAATACATTTTTATAGTCTGGAAAATCACACGGTAGGATCCAGTTTTCCCACATTAATTTTCATATTGGTTTGGTTGTCATTAGGGCGCTTTTTCCGACACGATACCGACAAAACGGATCCGATTGTCGGCGAACGACATAGAGTCAAGTAAAATACATGGTCAGCAACGGAGTGCTTTTTCACTCACCGATAAGATAACGATTACGTCGCATCCGACAAGGCGATATCGTTTGTCGGAATCAAATGTCGGTTAAGCAATCACGTTTCTCCTCAAATCGGGCTGATTTTGTGTATCTTTCCAGTTCTATCTCCTCTTTTGATATCATTATTTTAATTAATTTAGTCATTTATTTGATCATGTCAAATGTAAAATTTGATGTCATTTTGCTCTGTGAGCTCGTAGAAGCTAAGGAATGTTTATGGAATAAACGAAGTGAGTTATATAGAAACAAAATTATACGAGAAAATGCGTGGGACGAAATCAGCAAATTCTTAGATGAAGAGTATGAAGAAAAAACAAAGCTACAGAAAAAAGAAACAGGTAAATATAATATTTTTAATAATATACGATAAAACTGAATGCTATGAAATTGTATAAAAATGAGAGTGATGTCATTTGAAAGCGCAAAAATTATTTTTTAGCTAAAACACTTACAAATTTGTTTGTACTGTTTATAATAGATATGAAATATAATAGTTTCGCATAGTGCATGCGTCCGATTTTAACTTTAATTTATGTTAATGCCAGAGGGTATTTTTATTTAATATAGTTAACATAATGCAAAAGAAGTAAGCTGTAATTTTATTTTCTTCTTAAAAAGTGCTTTTTCGTGCATTAAATGACGTCATTTCTGTCTATTCATTTATCATTGAGGGAGATTTCTGTATCCTGATATGTGGCAGATTAATCGCCAAGTCTTAGCAACTTCCGGGCAACGGCCAGCGAGAAACTAAAAAAAAACATGACAGAAAGGGACCAGCTCAAAACGTATAACTCGTAGCCACCACCGGGTAAACATCTACATGTTTTTTTTTTTTTTAATTTAACATTTAAAATACATTTGGCACCTTGGCGAATGCAGTTGGCGATTTGTTGCAGTCTTATACTATCTCTATTTTACGCAATGATAGGTGATATGGTAATATCCCCTATCATTGCGTAAAATAGAAATAGTATAATTTTGATCATGGAGTTGAGCTTAATTTTTTTTTCCTATCTGTTTATCCTATATTAAGGACTGATGTCTTTTAATAAACAAGACTTTAGTGTCTTGGGAGAGAAATCTTTCCCTCATTTAGTCAATAATATTTTATCACCCAATATATTGCCCAAATAAAAAAGCAAAGATTGCTATTTTGATTTATGTATGTTGTAAGTACCTATACAATGTGAGTAGAAAAATAGTAATTATATGATCAGCTAACTATACATTGTCAGAATAGTTTATCATTTCCGATTTGTGTGCCCAAGCTCAGTCAAGTGGTTTAGTTATGTAAAAGAAGAGCTCACGAATAAGTAGTATAGATAGGTTCAATCTAGCTTTTAACTGTCTGAGCCGGTGATATATCTTTAATGTTTAATTTCTGTGGTTGCAAAGTTAGGCAATTGCAGTAATTTTCTTAACTCATAATTTCTAAATTTAAACCAAACATTTTCTTAAAAGTACAAAAAAGTTGAATAGTTGAAATTTTACCTTGCGTCGGAGCACGCCCAAGCCAGAAAGCTTTTTTTCAGTAAATTAGCTTACATTTGGTTCCGAATGAGTCCATCTGATCTCTGATAAGAAATTATTTTAAAATTTCTTGAACACCATGACATTTCAGATTGTAATAGTAAAGAGGTTTTTAATGATGAAAACATGAGTTTATCGCTTGCTTTAATTGTTTTATTACTTTTTTGCCGTCATGAAAAATTTTCTGCAAAGGTTATAAAGGTTGATAGTTGTTGCCCATATGAAAAATAAATGCTTTCTTGTTTCCTTCATAACGTCCTACTTCAATATTACAAGCTTCGAGTAAACTAACTTCGAATTGTATATTTCTTACTGCTTTTGAAAATGTATTATTAGTAGTGTGAGTATGAAATATTTTCTCACTCACCTAAAGTTCTCTTTTTCTTACATGCTAGTTTTTCAATTTTAACTTATATGCTATTTTTTTATCTACATTTTAGTTGAAAAAATAAAGAGTAAATGGTGTAACATCAGGGATGCTTTTATGAGAAGTTTAAAAGACAAAAGTAGCCAGTCATCCAAAAAAGAATACTTGTACCATGCGCATTTGCAATTTCTTCTAGCTGGTCAAGAAAACGACAGCACCCAATCTAGCAAAATTGTAGATGAATTGGCAACATCAGCTATCTACGAGAGTGTTGTTAATCCAACGGAAAATGATCACGCACCAATCACTGGAAATGATCCACTAGAAATGATCTGCAGTGAGTCAGGTAGTGCCTCTGGTGAGACCTCTACTAAAACGTGTAAAAAACGCATACGCTCTCAACAGAACTTGAATGATCTCGAGAAAGAGATCATTAAGGAACTGAAACGGCCTCGGTTGGAGAAGCCCCCTAGTACATTTTTTTCTTCATTTGAAGAATACGTCACAGACATGAGTGAGAATGAAAAAATTGAACTGCACATGGCTGTTCTAACATTAATCATGAACATTAAAGCTAAAAGATCTCAACCAGTATAAATAGAAAGCTGTGATCCACTTTAATTCTCCATAGTAATTCACAATCATCCATAGTTCTTCATAATCCGACAAAATATGCTTACCAAGATATTTGTTCCGCCTTTACCGATACCTTTTTCGCCGATACATGACGATGCCATTGTTTTTCCGAATAACTTTTTCAAACATTATATCACAGACATACGGGTATATTATTGAGATAAGAAAAATTAAAAGCAGCGTNCGTCGTATAGCAGCACTTATTGCAGCGCGTGGTGGCTGCACCAAATACTGATTTCGGACGCTTAATTTGTTTCTTTTGTTTTGAAAATTTCATCATTTATTTGTATCAGTACAAGTCGTTTCTGCATTAAATTTCATTTGATTCTGATGATTCTTTCATGGTGTTGCATTTTCTACAAACAGCAGTTTATGTATGTATTCAATTTATTTCCTTATGATTAGAAAAAAAAATATTTAAAAAAAAAACATTTTTCTTTTTAAATTTTACATATTATACTTTTGAATTTAAAAATAACTCTCTTTTATTTTCTATGCATTTAAAGAAGAAAAAAAATTAAGCTCTGAAAATAAACAAAGAAATAAAAGTTTTATCTAATTTTTTCTTATGTCTGGTTATATATTTTTAATTTCATGATGTTGCATTTTTTACATTGTAATGAGGTTGAAAGACGTAAACAATAGTAAAAGTTTTATCGAAAATTTTTATAAATCCATTTTATGCTTTAATGAAAAGATACTCTTATAATAGTAATGGATTGATAAAAAGGAAAATAAAGACCCTTATGTATTTCAAACAGAACTCGATCTAACTACTGATTTCTGATTGAAATATAATATATTGATTGAATAATAAGAAGTCTGTTCCCTGATTCAACTTAAATATTTTTTGAAACATGATAAAAAGGCTTCAAAAGACAAGTTTGTTTAAACTCATTTAAACAATCATCTAAAGTGATTATTCTAAATGAAACTAATATTTTAATTCGATTTTTAAAAAATGTATGCATACATAAGTTTGTTTCTGGACAGACAGAAAAAATTAATAAATAAAAATTAAGATTTTATAATATTTCTGCAAATGGAAAGAAAAATTTGTGATTGAAACCTTTTAATATACAGATAGCCATACGAAATACATAAATGTACATATTTTTGACAATTGCCATGGCAAGGCACATAAAATAATTAGCATAGCAGGTACGAATACCCCTACCAGACTTTTGAATGACATGATCATTTGAAAAAGAACATAATGGACTTTTCACTAAATCTTCCGGTTAATATGCGTCATTATCTCTGACAATGGGTAGATTATATTTGAGGGTGTCCCTTGATTCTCGCCAAGTTGTGATCGCGGTTGATCGCCAATCTGGGCGATGTTGAAAGCCAATCGTGATTCTGATTGGTTTAAATTATAGCGTTATTTTTAAATGTTCAACAGTATATGTAACTTCAGAGGTCAGTTAGTTCTACGTTGGATGTCGGCTGGTAAGGTTAATTTTGCTTCTGGTCCTGAAAATGACTTCGGTAAGTAAGATAAATCTTAAGTTTCTGTACGATTTGAATAACAATGGAAAAAAAGCAGTGATTGACTAGTGTAAGAATGAGGGTTTAATTAGTAATCGGTATAAATGCCATGTTTGTGCGAAACATATGTCCAGCACCACAGATTCTACTCATGATAAATTTAAACAATATCTAACTGCTATTAGAGAATTCTGTGTACCTAAAAGTGTGGATATTCAAGTTAAATAAAGTGAGTCGATTATTTCTTGTACTTATTCCATTAATTTTTGTTTCGATTCAAAATGCATTTTATTGGGTTTATTAATTTTGCTTAAATTGGGTTCATTGCAATTTGATTAAGTTTTGGTCGATGTTTTGTTGAAATTTTCTAATGTTTTATTGAAATATCATTATGTTTTAGCCGCTGTTCCTGTTATCATGGTGTTTCGCGCAAACAGTAATGGCGCCAAACATAAGTCGCCAATTTTGCCAAGGGGCATCCTCAAGTATATTTTTCCTCTGACAATATTGTGTGAAACTACACAAGCCTTTACCACTGCTATTGCACTTTGCCGTGATAAATTAAGTGGTTTATGGAAAACTCTCCACTTATTCGACAAAATACCAAAAGCGCACTCCACGTATCGACGGGCTCGGCATAGTCGATAATTAAAAACTTTCTGCTTCACGCTCAAGTTATACCCCCATAATTTATATCAAGTTATACCCCCAGAATGTGTTCATTCATTGTAAAGGCGTCGTCGGCCACAAAGACGTAGGGAACTTTAATGCTCTCTGGTGTCAAAGGCTCTGGGTTTGTAATCATAAGACTATCGTTGCACAGCAACTCCCAGAACTTCGTGTACTGCAGAATGTTGGAATCGCAGTCTTTTCCATATCCTCCAATGTTTACGTAGCTAAATTTATAGGAAGCATCAGCTACAGCCAATAGAACAATAGAATGATGCTTCGTATAATTAAAATTCATAGATCCCTCGGAAAATTTATTATCCTGATATGCTTACCATCAATGGCACCGATGCATAGCGGAAAATTTGCAAACTTTTTGAATCCTGCGACCACTTTTTTTCCAGTTTTCTTCACTGGCTTTCATAAGATGTTTTTCCTGTAATATCTCCCAAATATTTTCACAGGTGCATCTAGCTATTTTGGATATGGTTGTCACACCAATTCTATGAGAGTAATGCAAGTCTGTGAAAGAACTACCAGTAGCCAGATATCTGGAAAAGAATGAAAATAGTTTTAGTTTATTAAAAGCATGTTTTATTACAGTAACTAAAAAGAAACAGTATAAATAATTACCTTAAGGTGACAGCAAGCATTTCTTTTGGAGGAATGCATAGACGAAAACTGGTGTCCTTTTTCTTAATGCTATCATAAAGAGATGTTANTCAGAATATATTCATTCATTGGAAAGGCGTCGTCGGCCACAAAAACGTAGGGAACTTTAATGCTCTCTAGTGGCAAAGGCTCTGGGTTTGTAATCATAAGACTATCGTTGCACAGCAACTCCCAGAACTTCGTGTACTGTAGAATGTTGGAATCGCAGTCTTTTCCATATCCTCCAATGTTTACGTAACTAAATTTATAGGAAGCATCAGCTACAGCCAATAGAACAATAGAATGATGCTTCGTATAATTAAAATTCATAGATCCCTCTTTCGGAAAATTTATTATCCTGATGTGCTTGCCGAGGCATAGCGGAAAATTTGCAAACTTTTTGAATCCTGTGAGCACTTTTTTCCAGTTTTCTTCACTGGCTTTCATAAGATGTTTTTCTTGTAATATCTCCCAAATATTTTCGCAAGCGCATCTAACTATTTTAGATATAGTTGTCACACCAATTCTATAAGAGTAATGCAAGTCTGTGAAAGAACTACCAGTAGCCAGATATCTGGAAAAGAATTAAAATAGTTTTAGTTAATTAAAGGCATGGTTTATTACAGTAACTGAAAAGAAACAGTATAAATAATTACCTTAAGGTGACAGCAAGCATTTCTTTTGGAGGAATGCATAGACGAAAACTGGTGTTCTTTTTCTTAATGCTATCATAAAGTGATGTTAACACATAGTTAAATGTGGTTTCGCTCATTCGGAAGTAATTAAAAAATTTATTTGGGTCTTTTTGCAGCTTACGGAAAAGCACATAAAAATCTCAAATCTCCTTCAACATATCTTGCTTCATTTATTTCGTGCACCCAAAAACGTTTCTGCACTGCTCGCTTCTTTCTTCTTAAATAAAGTAAGTATAGAAGTTTGAGGCGACGATTATCATCGGGCATATTTAAGGTTTGCAGGAAAAAAATCGCAGCAGAACACAAACAAATAACTGCTCACTCAAGTTTAAAACATTGAATGAACGAGAATTTCTACTTCTCGGACGAACGATATCGGACAAGTGAAAAAACAATTGCTTGAACGATCCGACAACGACGTTGTCGTTCAGACATTTGTTGACCGATTTTGTCGGTATCATGTCGTGTAATGAAAAAGCGCAGATTGGTTCAGTTGTCATTAGCATAAAATTGATATAAGTCATAAAGTTATTGTTTTCCTATAAATATTTTTGCTTCCCTTATTCAAAGGTTAAAATTACCTGTATTGTCATTTTTACGTTTTTGATTTTGTTTGATTTCTAAATTAAGAGTTTAGGATGATTTTTTATTCTTATTATTATTATTAGAATAATGTAATTCTACGTTACATTTTAAGAAAAAGTTATTTAAGTCGGTGTCTGATCTTATTAACCGTTTTACAATTATTATTTTTTAGTACAAATTACATTAATAAACTTTTAAGAAATACGGTTGAAGAGATTCGGGGGAAAATATACTTGAGGGTGCCCCTTGGCAAAATTGGCGACTTATGTTTGGCGCCATTCTTGTTTCTGCGGAACACCGTTTTAACGGGAATGGCGGCCAAAACATAATGATATTTCAATAAACATTAGAAAATTTCAACAAAACGTCGACCGAAACTTAATAAAATTGCAATGAACACAATATAAGCAAAATTAATAAACCCAATAAAATGCATTTTGAATTGAAACAAAAATTAATGGAATAAGTACAGAAAATAATCGACTCACTTTATTAAGCTTGAATATCCACACTTTTAGGTACACAGAATTCTCTAATAGCAGTTAGATATTGTTTAAATTTATCATGAGTAGAATCTGTGGTGCCGGATTGGCGGACATATCTTTCGCACAAACATGACATTTATACCGATTACTAATTAAACCTTCATTCATACACCAGTCAATCATCGCTTTTTTTCCATTCTTATTCAAATCGTACGGAAACTTAAGATTTATCTCATTTACTTGTATTCATTTTAGTACCAGAAGGAAAAGTAACCTTACCAGCCGATATTCAAAGTAGAACTAACGGATCTCTGAAATTACATATAGCGTTGAACATTTAAAAATAACGCTAAAATTTAAACCAATCAGAATCACGATTGAGTTT